TCCCGATTCGGAGCTCCTCGGGCAGAAAAAACCCGTCCTGAAGTTCAGCGCGGGCGCTGAGAAAGTTGCGGTGCTCGAGTTGAGCCCCGCTGGGCTCAGCGGCACCGGCTGCCAACCCGCTGTGCGTTTCGGGACCGCTGGAGGTTTTCCTTAAGCACCTCACGCCGTTATTGATAGCCGCTGCGGAAAGTAATGCATAGCCACGTTGTTACACAAATGGTTATTTGCTGTAGCACAAAGCCGGAGCCAAATGGTGTCTCCCATAAGCTACGATGATGAGGAAAAGAGAGGCGGCTGCGCTGCCGGCACAGCGTTGGGTGCACGATGGTTGTGGGGCAGTGGGAAGCTGTGAGGGCAGCGCCCGTGGACAACCCGGGATGGGCCCAGCGAGCTCAATGAGCTTCCAGCAGAGAGCTGCCATCGAGGGGTGCTGATGGAGATGTGCTCCATTGGGCTGCGCTGGGAGCTGAGCTGCAGCTTCAGAAGCAGGGCTGGGGCAGGAAAGGGGTGAGCAGGGACGGCCCTGGGCTGCTTGGACCCCTCACGCTACCTTCCTACCCCACGCTGATGCAGAACTACAGGACTGTGTGCCATTAGTTCTTGGCAGTGGCTGTGGGCATCACTGCATGATCCCATTTAGAACATCTTCTCTTCAGCACTGCTTTGTGGCCCTTCCAAAGTCTGCATGTGAGGTGAAGTTACACTGACCTGAAATGGGGCAACTGCCTGGCAGGAATGGCAACGAGGGAGGAGATGAATGCAGCCACAAATGCCCTCAGTGTTCTTAGTGCAGCTCCAGCAGGGGGGGGAGTGCCTGGGTTAAGACTACCACAAATGACCCTCACCTTGGCCAAGCTGAGTTCCTGCCTACAGCAATGGCAGCGCTTCCCAAAGCTAGGCGTCCCCTGCTTTCTGCAAGGTGCCTCGTGCAGACTCGGCCTGTTGCATCTCCCACATTCCTGCGCCTAACAGAGGCACAGAGCAGCATGGTGCCTGCAGAAAGGCCATTCCAGTTCTCCTCGATAGACCCCACAGCTCCCACTTTCAAACGCACAGGGCCAGCAGGCAGTGCAGCTGGCAGCTGTCTCTCGAGCTCAGTAAAAGGACGATGGCTTGTGTGCAGCTTTTGGTCTCCACCAACAAGAAACGAGTGCTGGGACGGTGGTGTGAGCACAACACAAGGGGCTGAGGCTGCAGGGATCCCACGGCTGCACAGGGCAGGGAGTTAAACTCCTCACGCTGAGGTGTGGCAGCTCGCCTCTGAGCACTTTGGTCAAGACTTTCTCCATCCCTGCGTGGTGAGAACTGGGCTAATTACAGCTGAGACTCCTTGCAAGACTTTAATTTATCAAATTCAGCCTGGATTAAACTCCAGGCTTGTCTGTACTGGATTTTTCAAACATTAACCACATGCCACACCTGAAATTTCAGCGCACACAGAACTGAAATGCATTTACCTCCTCCTCTCCCTAAGGCTGTTAAGGTCTCTTGGCAGGGCTGCGGGCCTCATTATGCTCATTATTCGTGTCTTAGAGATAAGTGGAGGACCTCTGTTTTCCTGCTAGAGCATTATGCATGCACGAAATGCGTTCTGGAATTCAGAATGAGAGGTTTAGGAATTCACCCAAAGCCAAATTAAATCAAAGGGAGAAAAAACAGCACCACCACCTCCTAATGTTTTCAATGGCCGCTGGATGAAGCTTCCCTCTCTCCTGACAGCAGTACTTTCCCGTGTTTGGGATATGCCCGGATAGGTTTGTGAAGTCTTCCGTCTCTTATCTACGTGGGACTTTGCCAGAACATTTTTTTTCATCTGTCTGTGGTCTCTGTCAGCGTCGACATTCGTTTCTGCCGCAACAACGGCCAAGTGGAGTGCATTGAACTTGGATCAAAAGGGAACTCGAGATCTTTCACTCTCTGGAAGAGGTTTTCAGATCCAACCGTTTTATGGAAATGACCTCCAGCAGCCAGGCAGGGCAGCAGGGGCTCGGCTCCAAGCCGTGCCCCAGTTCCAAAGAAGAATTACCCAGCGTTGGCGCTGCGAGCGAATGAATATTGAAATTACAGCAGATTATATTGGATTAAATTATTTATGGCAAAGCTCGCCTCACCTGGAAGGTTCTGCAGCTTTTTTCCTGGCACTGCGAAATCTGGATGTTCCAACGCTTTGGTGCTCTGCGCAGGACTGGAAACATTCATGTTTCCAATAAGCTGCTAATCTTTCCAGAAAGCACGATGGTGTCTGAGCTCAGAGCGTGATTGTGGTGCCTTATAAAGCTTTGAAAACACACATAATTTGGTACATTACTGGCCAGGAGATGCAGGTTCTTTTCCACAAGAAAAGAATTTATGGAGCTATCAGCAGCGTTTTATGGCTTTGAACAGCGCGCAACAGCGTCGCGTCCCGAGCAGAAAGTACTTAGAGTCTGATGCTTTAAAGAGGTTCAAGAAAAGGACCGGTGCTTGCGAGTGACCCAAACAGCCGCTACCACAAACAAAATTATGCCATAAAAGGCAGCAACAGCTGTCAGCAAAAAGCAAAGCGGGGCAGCTGGGTGCGCTTGCAGCCCCACGGGAAGCTGGCCTGTGCATGGAGCAGTGCCCTCGTACACAGGGGCTTTGTGCTAAGGGAGGAAGGCCACAGGCAGCACCTGCACCAGCCAGGAGCAAACAGAGCCATGGGGCCATGTAACAGTGTTCTGCTGGCAGCAGAAGTGTGGCTTTTTATTTGACAAAGCAGAAAACTTTTGTCAGAGCATATTAATGACAGCGCAACTTTTTTTTTTAAATTTTATTTTTATTTTTCTGCAGCATTTGCAAAACTAAAACACTTTGTAATCCCTTCTTTTATGCAGAACAGATTGCAGTTTTAAGCAGAGGCCCATAAACTGCAGGTTCAAAGAAACCTGAAACTGAATTAGCATAAAAGCTGGAATTCTCATTTATAGGAACAGCAAGGCAACCGCTCTGCAGGCAGTTTTATGATTTTGGTTTCAAATGGAAACAAAGATAAAAAGTGGGGCTCAGGGAACAATAGGGCTGCTCTCTCTTCCCCATCCTGACGGGCCTGGCCCTATAAAATACTGAGCAGTCTCCGCTGCTTGCCAGGACCGAATGCAGCCTGGCTTTGCTGGAGGAGGTTGGATGGTTTTCTGAACCCGTTGCCCAAACAGAAAAGCCACCTTCCCTGCCCTGTAAGCACAAGGCAGCTCTGCCTCCCAGCTGCTCCGAACAATACAGAGCCTATGAGGGAACACCAAGGGTCTGTCTGTCTTGTTGAGAATACACAAATCAACTCCTGACTGCAGCTTCTCAACCAGGAAAAGTATGCGTTTTCTCCATCCACCTTCCTGTGGTTTGAACTCCGCGTCACCGAACAGATTTTGGAGCACCATTCAGCCGGATTTCGCTGCTAGAGACCTCTCCTGGCTCTTAAGCTCCTGCCTACACTCTCTAGTTTAACCGGGAACATTTGTAAGATCCTATCACAAAATAAGAGGATAAACTATAAATTCTTCCCCATCCACTGGCGCTCCTGTGAGCGCACTTCATAAATGCACTGCTTTTCAGCTGGAGCCATTATCTTCCCCTAATTTCTGCCTGCTAGTGAGTTCTGGAGCTGAAGAAGTATTTCAAATTAATTTGTCTGTCAATATCTGTGCACTGAATCAACTAATAAGAGCATTTCTCATTCTCTTCTCTGTCGGAGGAAGGGACTTTCTTACCACCGAATAAAGCACCCATTATTGTGCACCATAATCCTATTCTGTCTTTCAGGTCATTTTTAGCCCAGAAAATGCTGAATCAGCACCGGAAACCAATCCAGTAATTTCTTTCATTTTCTAACATTCAAGCAAAATAATGAAAAATCACATCGCATTCGATGAATAGAATGTAGGACAGAAATCTGTTATTCCAGGGATGATTTTAAAAGAGGTCCGGTTGGGAAGGAAATACTGCAGCACCACCACGCAGCTAATGCAGGGTCTCTCCCACTGAACAGATAAATCCCATTTTTGACTGTCATCTCCTATTTAGACAGCACATTATGAACCATAAATCTGTACGTTTAGCCCGCTTCTAAACACTGCAAAGACATTAACTTGGCAAAAGAATGACCG